TTTTAGAGAGGGAGCATAATTAAGCACTTTTCCTGTTAAAAAGCACCAGTTAAAACCATGGTTATTGAACCTGAAGTGAAGAATGACTTTCATGATCTAAGGAGTGCAATGCTGGTAATTTCAGTTTCTTTAAGGTAATACTTCCTATCTCTGCTTCAAAAAAAGGGCCAAATTGACTGATAGAATAAATGAGTGTGTATCTTGTGAGTCTGATGCAAAGCATATCACTCTGTGGAAATTGCCATTCTAAAGCTGGCCCTGCAGTCAGTATGTTTGCATATAGTTCATTTCAGATTTCTTTTTGTCCCTAAAGTTTTGTTTTAAGAAGTTGCGATGGGTGTTGCAACTGTGTTGCTAAGACGCTTATTTATTTTTATTTTCATTGACGCCAATCTATGTCTGGCATGGTATTAGCATTAGCAAATATTATAGTTTTATTATGTATACAAAGTTAAAGCCCTCTGAAATATAACTGGTATCAGTGGTTTTTTGTTTAAAAATCTGCATATGCAAAGCAGATTTCTTGGGCTCCAAATAGCCGTAATAGACATAGCTCATGACACCAAGGAAACTATACGTTTCAGTTCTGTCTGATCATCTCATCACACTATGAGAGATGAGTCAGATTTCTGACCTGCTTTAACATAAGTTTGAGTGTATTATTTAGGAAATTCTTCCTGCACGTTAAATAAAAGGTATAATAGCATAAAATTGCCAATATACATCAAACAGCATAATTTCATTAGAATTCGAAACAAGAAAAGTTTGCTATTGAATCAAAAAGTATCAAATGAAAAAGGCGATTGTAAATGACAGTTATCTGGCAGATGGGAACGGGCCAGGTGCCTGTTCCCTAACGCCTTGTTTGTTCGCTTGTTGTCTTTGTATGGTTTGTCATTTACGTTTAGACAGAAAAAGAAATTGGAGTTTTCAAAGAACATATGTTACATAGATTCCATCCCATCAAATTTATAATAACGTTTTAGTAATTTTCTTCTCACTTTAGTAAATGCCAGTTATTTCTGTCAAGTATTATCTGAAATAGCAGAACTCTGTTCCTCCCAATATCCATCTCACCTCAGCTCATTTTCAGCACCATCGAATTTTCTCCTTTGCCCTAAGGAATAACACAAGTATTTGACTTATTTCAGATGTTCACCAAGCCACACTTTTTCCAGTTTCCGCCTTTTCTTCCCTCTGTGCCTTGCAGTCTCCTTCCAATTTTCTGCTTGCCATATTCTGATTCTTCCCTGTTTCCCTGGCCTTCCTGTCTGCTTTCTTCTCCTTCCTCCCTGCCTAAATCTCCACTTTCTATAAATACATTTTGTATAGGCTGAAATACATGTGATCTGTATTTGTATTCTCTATCCCTGCACCCACACACATACCTATACAGAAAGTGTAAAATGTTTTATAAAAAACAAAATCAATAGTTTGTGTAAAATCACAGGTACTGCGGAGATTTTTATCTACTCTTGGGTATCTGATGTTACTGAATATCTCATATGGCCCTATTCTTGACTGTCTTGATCTTTTTTAACGTTCTTTCCAGGTTTCAAATAATTAAGGGCTGAGAATGAAGGAGGTCTTGCACACAGGGTAAAACATTTCTGGAACTCCAGCTTCTGATTTATGCGGCGCTTACGCCTTTGGTTCTTAGTTACTTCCTCCTTAAGAGGCTACATATCAGATCACTAAATATGAAGATGTCTAATTTTCTTGGGCTGCTTGTATACTTGTGTAACTATATGTGTTTTCTGAAAGGAAAGAGTAGCGTAGTTGCTTTCATCTACTGAGTTTCATATGGTGTTTGTCATTTTGTAGAAAATTTGAGAAAGCTGGAAGGCGGATCACTCGGCAACATCTTTCTGTTCCTGACAGTGCCCGTTGTGAGCTGAGAAGTAAAGACTTCTCACAAGCGCTGACTCGAGTCAGACAGTGATTGAGCTGAGCCAGTGATACTGCCTTAATCCCATTTGCTTTTTTTGCTGGCTTGCAGACCTTCCTGTTGAATGTTCTTTATGCTCAGGAGACACAGCTCTACTGCATGTTGATACTGGTCAAAGAAACTTTGCTGGACCTATATTCTATACTGATAGGTAGCTCCTATCAAAAGGCTTCATGAAAACACATCTATTTCATTTAACTTTGGAAGAAAAAACAGGGAAAAAAAGCAATTTTAGCAATATGGTTCAGTTTTTTCAGTTTTCAAGTTCATGTTGAATTATATCTTGTAATGTAGTACAAATAAAAGGTGCGGCCAAAATACAACATTTTCATTTATCCAAAACATTTTTTTCAAAACATACGCTTGCCAAAATTTCCATACTCCTTCAGAATGAAATCAAATCTCAAAAGATTCAGAGACAACTTCTGTCATCCATATGGTTTAGTTCATGCTACTGTATGCACAAGCAAATTACAGTGAATCGAGTTATCATCCAACTAAGTTGAGCTGTTGCACACCATTTATGGAAAAGAAAAAAAAAAACTTCAATAAGCCACTGGGCTAGCTTCACCAAATCTTACGTAATAGAATATATTCGGATGCTCACTCTTTGTTACTGTTCCCTGTCAAAGTCTATATGACATGTAAGTTTACTGTGGTTCTGTCATGGTAAAACTTGGCAAACAAATAACTAGTATCAGCAAGAAAAGGAATATTGTCAATTGTCACTAACCAGGTGCAAGTAAAATTATAATTTGTCCTTGTGGTTTTGAGTCTCTTGCATGTGGAAGCTACAGTACCTATGTAGACCTTTTTATTGCTTATGTAATGCAACAGTTGTCCAGTAACGTGATCTCATGATTTTGTAACAGCTCATTGGAAGGTTTTACATCGCTTTTCATTGTCTAAATTAATAATCTGTAATTTTGCAGTCTCCTACTGGGTTCTGTTATCAGGTTATTTACTCGAGTCCTTTAGTTTAGTTATACGTATGCTAGAGGTAGCATGCAAATTTTTGATTGCATTACTGCATTGTCTGCATGTTCTGGCTTTCATTTTGCAAGCGTTTCCAAACACTGCACCATTATCTTTTGTACTGAACCATCCTACCGTTTGGCTTGTGCTGATAATGCCATACCACAGCCACAGTTTCTTCTGTGTTATTTGAAACACAGGACAACAGAGCCATTGCTGACTGGCAAAGTCACATCTCTTCATTAAAATTCTTTGTTTCCACAGCACTTGTGAAAAATAAGACAATTAATACTCTGAATGTTCTTACGCTGCAAAACTATCTAGTAGCCAAAAATTAATCACAAAAATCTTACTAGATCTTTATATCCTCTTTCTCTTCATTACTTCCTTCATTTCTGGTTTCTTTTTGGTGCTTTCACTCTGAAGATGTATTAGATGTGCACTTAAAAAATATTAAAAGAAATGGTAGGGCACAAAAAAAAAATGGAAAAGTGCTTTAAAATGATTCCGGTTCTTGCAGTGCAGTTCAGGAAGGGCACTTCAGATTTACGTTCTGCTTATGCTCCCCAACATTTTCTTTTTGAAGAAGAACGTGAGCTCTCTCAGTGGTTTTGGGGGGCAGGGGGGGAGGCGCACGCACATGTATGCGTGCTTGTAGCTGTGTCAACCATCTAGTCCATGTACAGAAATGTGCAGGAGAATGGCGGTTAGTTTATTGAGCAAAGGATCTAGTAAAACTTGATTGCTTACATTTCTTTAAATTCAAGCTTGATCTTCCAAATCAATTTTATGCAGCTTAATAAAGATAAGTTAATACACATAAATCCTTGCAAATGTACCAGTAGGATCTCTCTCCCTTACCTGCTTAGCATTAAACTTACAAGAACCTGTATCTGAGAACAGTGCCACTCTGGTTGAACTTTTGTTAGTGTAAAGTTGAACTTTACAGGAAGAAAAACACTCAGTGCAAAAATGTAAGCCTCAGTTCCTCAAGAAACAAATTTTAAAAAGTAGAAGTAAGTTTTCAAAGTGAAGTCAATTAGTTTTTCTAAATTCTTAATACTTTGTTCTCCAGAATTAAGTGATATTATTAATACATAACAGAAGGCAATTTTTTTTGCTTGATGTTGTTTTAGTGTAACTATCAACATGAAAAAATACTGAACTGTTAGTTTTTTTTTTTTTGCCGGTGGTTAAGGAGAAAAGTTGCACATACTTTGCCTTTGAACTATGTGCATTTGCAAATACTACTTGAGTTTGAAGGTTCTTACTAGAAAATATATGTTCTGCTAGTTGTTTTTAATTCATTATACTTCTATTACTAGTTAGCGTTTATAATCATTATTTAATTGTTGTGCTGTAGTAGCCTAAAACAGTCTGACTGAGATTTATTTTAACCTAGATGTGTTAGGCATTGTACAAGCAAAGCATAGTTACAAACATTGTCACAGAAATCACAGCGGAAAGACACTGTATTGTAGTTAGACCTGCATGTTTGTGTATATATTATGTGTATTCCATGGGGCTTTGCACCAAACGATTTTGATTATAGACTCAGGGCCTAGATTCCTCTTTGCTTAAGTCTTCGTGTTTGGCCGCAGCGAAACTTAGGTGTTAGAAAGATGTCTGAAAATCAGCATTATATGTTTACAAGCTAAAAGGGCCCATGTGTGTACGAATCAATTTAGTGCATCACTTACAAAATGATAATCGTGCTTTCTTTCATTCAGAGTAAAGAGTTGGGTTTTGGGGAATTTGGGGTTTGTTTTGCTCTGTTTTTCAACAGTAGATCCTTCTGTGAAGGAAAGAGAATTAGAACCATGACGGAGAAGTGGATCATTGATCTTGACATGTGTTTAATTTCCTCATGTGCACAGGAGTATGCTGAGGCCAAAATAGTGTAAAGCAATAGTTCAGTATTTTGTCTTATGGTAGTAGTGGAGAAAGAGAAATGGTAGTTTTACCAACTGAGGAAAGACAGAATACCTTTGATATGGCTGTTATTCTGACAGCGTTTCAGCTGTCACCTTCTACTTTGCTTTCCATTTTAAGAATTGTTACATTTATCTCTCCTTAGCTCGTAAGCAAGAGATTATCAAGGTTACTGAGCAGTTGATTGAAGCTATCAACAATGGGGACTTTGAAGCTTACACGTAAGTTTTGGAGAGAGTGAGAAGATTTGATGTTTCTGTGTGTGTGTATGTATGTATGTATGTTTGTGTATGTATGTATTGCTGAAGTTCATTCTCAAATACCCCAAGAAAAAAAGAACTTGTTCATCACTGCATTGCATCAGCTTTACTCTAGCCTGGTTGCCAGTTTCATAGGAGATGCTAGTGTAAATCTACTGTACTAACCTTGCGAGCCAGGATTATAATCCTGAAACAAAATATGCAGTGATCTTTCTTGGTGTATGAAAATGAAGTCATGTTTGTGATTTAAAATCAAGGAAATGAAAAATAAAAAATCTCTTATAACAGAAATATTTATTGTATGTAAAGATTGGTACTTAACAGAATCCTGTTGGTACTAAAAAGCATGAAAGACCATATGGAATTCAGGTTCCACCTGCCTCTACTGAAGACTGCATTTCTGTGAAAAAATTTGCTGAGCAAAAATGAACTGATTTCGATCAGCTTTTCTGTGCGAAGCTGCAAATCCATCCTTGTATCTCTTCGCTTCCTACCTTAAAGAAGAAATAGAGGAAAGATGCATCATAAGCACTTTTTAACATTTCTTTTGGTCTACTCCCATGTTTCACTGGATGGACTCTGCCCTGTTGTGACACAGGCCTCACAGTTCAAGAATGTCACTGCATTTCCTGTGACCCAGGCAGCCTTTTTCAAAATTTGCCAACATGACATTTTAATTTCATATAATTGCATTAGGACTTTTGTTGTGCAGATGTAAAGTGGAGGCTCATTCCGAATTCTAGTCTAAATTTTAGCAGATTAAAGAAAAATAAAGATCTTACCTAAATAATGGTGTCAGACATGAAAAATATACTTTGGATCGCACAGAGGTAGGCAATTTTCGGGAAGCACAAGTAGAATTTGATAGTGTAGTACCGTTGACTTGTAGGACCATCTTTGGCAGTCTTTCTTTTGTCAGAAGATGATTTATGTGAAAATTAAGTATGTGAAGTAATGTGCCAAACTTCATTGATGTAGGTGAAACCAGCACTCCTATTACACTGCCTCTGTAAGTTCTGTTCTTTTCCAGTGTGATGTCACATGTAAGTAACATTCCCTATGGGAATAAAGGACGCATTTAGAAAGAAATCTGTCGTGTTGTGTTAGATAACTGCATGTGTTTATTACAATGTTTCTTTCTTTGCACAGAAAAATCTGTGATCCAGGCCTTACATCTTTTGAACCTGAAGCTTTGGGTAACCTAGTAGAAGGGATGGACTTTCACAGGTTCTACTTTGAAAATGGTAAACATTCCTTTTTTATCTCTGTGAATCTTCATCTGCTCCATGTGAATATGTCTCTCCAGTCTGATCATCAGCATTTTGATTTAGGGTTGTTTTTTTTATGTAATTGATTTGGGTAGAGGGGTTGTTATCTTTTCATTTGGAGTTCTGCTACATCTGTTTTTCTCACTGTTTCTGCTGCGTTCATTCAGACATCATAGGGGACTTTGGATAGTGCAAAATAGTTTCTGGTATTTGGAAAGGGAAATTTAAGATTTTTTTAAAAAATGAGATATGTAGACAAGTGATTCTCGTAAATTGTTTTCCATTGCTGAAAAGAGAGAACATCACAGCGTGAGTATGTTTAAAAGGAAGATCACTAATTCATGTGATTAGAGAGTTGCAACGGAAAATTAGCAATTCCAGTGAGTTTATAATGACTGTTATTGTTTGATGTGTTGGGGAAGACCCTGTAGTCAGTCAGTCTGTACTGCTGAGGATCTGATCAGCTAACTTTTTTTGTATTGGTCTCTGTATGCTTGTATATATATTTGATACGAACGTGTTTAATAAAGTTCTGGGGGATTGTGTCCTACAGGTAACTCTTTTAGAGCAGACTTGGCTCAAGAGGAAGTAGAATATTATAAATGAAGATACGAGCTTGTACAGCAACTTCTGAGAAATATCTGAGCATAAAATGGGATTAAAGCATTCCTAAATTCTCTTCCATCTCTAAAATAGTTTTTTTTCCATATTTTTCCTTAACGTGTTTTGTTTTATTGCCTCCGGTTTGGGTTTTTTTTTTAATTTTCATAGATATCAGCATTTAATAAGGTAACTCACAGAAGTAAGTTAAAAGCAGAAGGTTATGAACTCTAAATATTGACTACAAATGTCCTTAGACACAGTAGTGACCCCTGAAAATCAAAATGGTGAACCTTTCTAGTATAGTCATATTTACTGAAATGAAATACATGGTGACAGCTTGCACTTTATATCAGAATCTCCAAAAAATTGTATAACATCTCACCAAGATGATAATCATGTTGAAATATGACCAGAGATGTAATCAAGTAGTTTTAATAATGATAGCAGATTAGAAATAAGAAATTTCAAATGAATCATTTTTTGTCAGCAGGGTTCAAAAAAGTATTTTGCAGTTATTGCCATTACAAATGTTAGGAAACCAAGTACTGAGATTCTTCCAGTGACCTCACTCCTAGATCAAAGGAAAGGAAGTATTGTATAATAGCAAATATACATATACATGAATACACACACACACACACACACACACACACATATATATATGTATATATATCTCCCTGCTAGTTAAGATGCCCTGGAACTGATTAGGGTCAAATAATTGTCTATGGACAGTTATTGAAACTTGTTTGGCACCTACACAGATAAAATAATATATACTATTAAAAATTCAGTCGGTTTTCTTATGGGAAAGGGGAAAACATACTTCCTACTGCTACTGTACTCATTTCTACAATATATTTGAGCTAGTTGTGTATGATTATCAGTAAACAGTTTTTATTACTTCGTATCTGCTAAGCTTGATATCTTCATTTTGGAAAATGGGGTGAGGAAGGTATTTTGGCTTACTTAAAGAAAATTGATTTCATCCTCTATGTGTATGTTTGTTTCCTAGCTTTATCCAAAAGTAATAAGCCAATCCACACCATTATCCTAAATCCTCATGTCCACCTTGTTGGTGATGATGCTGCTTGCATTGCATATATACGACTGACACAATACATGGATGGAAGCGGGATGCCAAAGACTATGCAGTCAGAGGAGACGCGGGTCTGGCACCGTCGTGATGGGAAATGGCAAAATGTTCACTTTCACCGTTCAGGGTCACCAACAGTACCTATCAAGTAAGAAACAATTTCAGACCACAAGCCTAAGTTATGTAGGTCAGTCTAGATAGTCTAATAGCTGCTTTTGGCCTTAAAGCCTGTAAAACTGTCCTCTTGATGATGTAATTTCTTTGTGCTCATTTATGCAGTGTCTGTAGCGTGCATATAGTATTTGTGCAAATATTTTTAATAATAATGATTTTTGTTGTTGTCATTTTCGACCATGATGCCTACTGATCTTAGTCCCTGAACTAAGAGCTTGAAAAGCAGAAAAAAGTTTTAATGCATCTAGCGCCTGATACAAGTTGCACAAAATAGAGGTGCAAAATCTCATTAGAGGGAACAGGGAGGACAGAAGGAATAAGAAGTGATAGGTTACATGGAGCTATTAGAGCTGGCGGGGAAATTTAAAGGGAAAAAATAACATTTTGCTGAAAAACTAAAATTTGCTCAGTATTTTCTGTGATTCCTAGCCATCTCTACCCTCTCAGGCCTAGCTGTGTTCTCTGCGAGTTGATCTTGAGCCAATTTATGTATTTACTTTATAAACTAAGACATACAGGTATCTATCATGTTCTCATCTCTTCTCCCACACTCCCTTTGCTGAACTACTGGACAATCACTGTTTCATAGTTGTTTCCCACCTACGTGGGTAAACTTCAAATCTCTCCTGTCATCATTTATCTGTTCAGTTTGTTGTGGTGTCTCTGCATATTGAGTCACAGCATGGCACCAGGGGTACGAGAGGGCATTCAGAAACTTGGATTCCTTGAGCCCGATTTTCAGCAGTGTAAATTAATGTCGACTGAGAGTTGCAATAACGAGATGAAGAGTCGGTCACAGCTTCTTCAAGAGGTTCTGCTGAAGTGCTTTACTTTTCTTCTGCTAACAGCTTTCCCTAATGCTACCATGTCCCTTGGGGCCCAAGCTTGTTGACTTCTTCTCTAAGTAGACACACTCACATTAAACTATTTCCCAATTATAAAGCACTGGTACAGGCTTTACTTTGCTCAGGTGAAAGCCCTTTATGTAAGATGTAACTACATTTGTATGAGGTGTCTTAGTGTGGATAACAGCTGAATTTGCCAGCATGAGTGATAGGGGCTTAGATTTCATCTTTACCACTTCATCATGTCCTAAAATTGACTTCTTGCAACATCATTCTCCCATAAGAAATAGTATTCTATCAAGTAAGGAATACAATGGAATGAAGTGTTAAACTTCACTGGGGATGAAGAACTGGATTTTTTTGGAAAAAAAATAATTTGATTACCTAATAATAACTACTGTGTTTTATTTACAACTGTGAACTCAATGGGAGCAAGAACCATGCCATCCTTTGTTTTTTTGCATCCTGGTTGCACTGCCACTATTTAAACAGATAATATTGAAAGAATAGTTATATATACTTGAAATGTAATCTTACTGAGATTTTTTGGTGTTTTTGTAAAGGAGCTTTTTGTTAAGAAGTCTGACCTGGGTATCCATAGGGGCAGTACGTGTAAGTGAACCAGATTCACCCGGCCCAGTGCACCCTGGGCAATAAGTGTTTATATCAGAACGGCAGGCACTGGACTAGGTAGCACTCTCATCTTTTACATTTGGGGTATTTTTTGTGGTTCTGTTTTTTGTTTATGTGTTTTTTGTGTTTTTTTTTCTTCTTAGTTTATTTAACTTACACTAAAGCATATTTATAGGAAATAATCATGAAGATCCAAGAACAAGGTAGTTTATTACACTTATTCTTACACACCAAAACCAGAAGGGAACAAAATAGTCATCTTATGAAGATGATTCTCTAATCTATAAAAAAAAATCTATATTCATCTGCCCAGTAATGCCTGTACTGAATAGATTTTGCAGCTCCTTCTGTTTGAGGTACAAGTGTTGTAATAGGAGCTTCAATATTCCTGTAATATAGCAGGTGAGACAGTTGTTGCATGCTCTGCTCTGCACCTACTACTCCTATGAGCACTTGCCAGAGCTGGAGTTTCTCTGGAATTTAAAGGGCTCGTCTAGCTACCACAGAATAACCCCTGGCCCTGAGACTGCACAGAGAGAGAAGGCAAATCTCAGGAAAATGCAGTTGTGCATTCAGATCTGACATATGCCCCATGGGAGCTGTGCCAGTATTTAAGAGTCATGTAATGTCAGTTCTTTACTGCTGCTCGTGCTGTCTAATAAAAACAAGAGTTTCTGGGGCTGCTAAGGGTGGAATGGGTGAAAGAAAAAGGCTGAGAGAGAAATTTTTGAGCCCAGAGGTTTGTGTCTATGTCTGAGGGTGTTCTGAGCTCGTGGAGTCAGACAGAAGAAGAGATTTCAGGAATTTGAGAATATATCTGAACTGAAGAGGTCACATAGGAGAAGTAGCAACTCAGAGCTTTAGCGCATGGCTAGATTTTAAGGAGAGATGCTCTGAGGTTACAGTATAGCAATAGATAGAGCATCTGTTAGCCCAGGCAACATCATCGTGTGTAAATCCCTCACCTAACCTCCATTTTAAATTCAGAGGATTTTTTTGAACTTGCTTCTATTACTGTTCTAAAATATCATTGCTCCGATGGTTAAAAGCCTTGCTGTCAAGCCTAGATTTTTGTCATACACGCTATATCCTTGATTATTCTTATTTTATCATTGTCCTCCTTTATTACTGGAGACAGATATGCAGATAGGAGCTATTTTATGAAGGGCGATTTAGATCACCTCTCATCTTCCATTTTGGTAGGGTAAATAAAACATTTTTCCTTGGCTGGCTTTGTAGGATAGAATCTCCATTTTCCTAGTTACCTAAATAGCTCTTTGCTGCGGCTTTTCTGGTTTAAGGTTTGCCTTTTTATTAGCTTGAGTTCGTCTGAAATACTGCATGCAGTTGTGATCAGGTGCTAGTAGGGTGCTAGTAGGTGCTAGTATTCATCTTCACAGTTACTTCCTTCTCTCTGCTAAAAATGCCATGTCTGTTATGTTCTGGCATGATTTCTATGCTTTCGTCGTCTACATCACATTAGCAGATCATCTGAGACAGACGTGTATTTATCCTAATCTGTCATGTCCAACCAATGAGCATATAGAAGCTTTGGCTGAGGGTGCAGCCTTATACTTCCTGTTATTAAACAAAATGTTTGTGGATTTGCCAGTCCTCAAGGTTATTTGGTGATTCTTGTACAATACTGCCCTTTTCCTCTGTATCTATAATGCCTTCCACCTTTGTGTAAATGAACTAAATGAGATGGTCCTATTGTGTGTGCGCTCAGGTCATTAACTAGACTAGTGAGTCTCCTGTACCCTGACAGCTGTCGTTTTTCTCTCAGTTATTTTACTTTGCATTCTTGCTTTAATCCCCATCTTCTCAAGTTTAGCTGGTAGCTTCCCCTGTGGTACCATGTCAGGATTCACCTGTAACTATTATGCCTGTCATAATGTCATGACTGTCTTTTAGAATGCCTTGAAGTTCACCTTTACTTTTCCCAGTTAAACCAGTAGTGCATAAATAACTCCAGTTTGGAAAATGACAGAAGTGTAGTTAAAGTATTGTTCCGTGTTATTGTTCCTCTCTTTTCTTGTATTTGAAGTTTTTGCAATCTACAACTATTTATTTCATTATTATCAATATGCAGTAGTTAATAATGACCCTTGTGCAATAGAAAAGCGTTTTATGCACATTGTCTGAAGAAAAAATTCAAATCTAATGAGCTTGCAGAAGCAGTTATAGCTGTGATCAGCTATAAATCTGAGGACAGAATCAAGCTTTTTGTAGCTATAGGTACCAGAAAAGCAGATGTTTCTTTGTGGCAATTAATTTTGGAAATGAATATGAGCACAAATTTCTATTTATTTTATATGTAATTTTTATTTGTACTTCTTACTGTGAGATAGACCAGCAACAGCTGACAAACTTTTGTTTCTGCCTGGTCCGTTTTTCTCTCTATTTGAGTGATTTGACTGATAATAGGAGGTCTTTCTCTGTATTCAGTCTTCTTAAGAATTTGTTGTGCTAATGTATTTTTGCAGAACTGTATCTGCATATAAACAAGGAGTGGTCTAAAATACCTACCTGCATGAGATAGGCAGTCGACGGGCTATCGGACCTGAAACTGACTCTCAAAGCTAAATTTAGACTTGAGACTCCCAGGCTTATACTCACTCGCTTATCACACCTTTCTCTTTCTTATACTTTCATAAGTTAAATACCAAACAGCAGGAAGACTTAAGTAAAGAGTTTCTTCTGTGTTTGTACAGTGCCTAGCACAACGGGATCCCAGTCATGACTTCGGCCCCTAGATGCTACGGTAATGCAAATAATATTAACAAGCTGAATGAGTTAACTGCTGTCTTACACATTCCTTTTCTTTCATTTTCTCTTTACGTAATGTTTCTAGCATGTCTTGCATGTAAATGACACCTAGTTCTTCCTTGCTCTTCAGTCCGATTTTTGTATGAGAATCTGAGTGTCTGTAATGTACGTGTTAAGGAAGTAAGTTAAACTCAAAGAGAGGTTCACTTTTGAATTCTGACCTCGCTCCTTTGAGAAATTGATTAAGGCACTTTCGTGCCCTGCCTCAGTTTCCCTTTTTTCTTTTAACAGCTTCTCTGGCATGTTGTAAAGATTAAAAATGTCTGTAAAGTGGTTTGAAAAAATAAAAGTGTGTTTTGCCTGAGTGTTTGGGTTTTTTTCCTTTGTTTGGTTTTCTTCACAGTATTATGTTAAATGATCTGGAGAAGATTTTTATTTAATAGTGTTGGCTAACACTTGAGCATGTATTATTATCTGGTGGTGTTGTTACCTCAGTAATGGCAATCTTTTTTTTTTTTTTTTTCTCCTTCCTCCTTCTAGCTAAAAATATCAGCGGTGCCGCTCTTGCATTATCTGTACCCAACGCACCTGGTTGATTACCATCTTGGCCATCCTGTTCCCTTCATGCATGTTTCTGAGTGCATGAAGCTGTGGAGGTTCTTCATGTAACACATTTGTGATGCACCATTTTGCTGCATATGCCATCTGTACACTGTTAACATTTCAATGAAGCTGATGTTCCATGCAAATAGAAAATAGCAAGGCATAAACGTCAAAAAACCATTTGGTGTACAGCAGTAGATACAGAATACATTTATCATTTTTTCTCCGCTTATGCCAAGTTTTGACAGACGACTTTAAAAACTGTCCCGTTTATTAAAAAAAAAAAAACAAAAAACAAAAAAATACCCCCCCCCAATTCAATTACCCTCTTTTTTTAAGAACTGTTTTTTGACTCCTCCTTTTTCCCCACGTTCTTGGATTTTACTTTGGCTCTGGTAGAAAGGGATAGGATTTCCACTGACAGCTCTGTTACTGTAAAACAGATTTTTATTATGGCACGTAGATGGACAAAATTGCTGATAAATGTGGGAATGATCATACCTTGACTTTGTTCCAACTAGTTATTAGTCCATATAAACTGGAAAAATCTCATCATTTGCTGGCTTGGTCAGTTCTGAATTAACTGTCAATGATCTGGCTAAGTCAGCAACTTCTTTTTTTTCTTTGAGTCTTCACCTTTGCTTTCTTACTATGCTAATTGAAAATTTATATTGGATGTTAAAGCAAAAGTAAAAATTGTGAGGAACTAAGTGATGATTGAGAGGCAGGTTTTGATTATTGAAATGGATAAAGAAAAACAGATTTTTATTGCTTTTAGGGTGTCCTGTAAATTTAAGGAGGCTTTAGAATATTTTAAAATTTTGTTTAAGCTATAGCCCAGTTGTGTGGTTAGTATTCTCTAGGAATATTAGGCCTTAAAAGCTTAGCATGAAGAGTTTATTTACTTTCCAACGTAGCTGTTGCTTTTCTGGGAAATATATTATGAATACATCCGGTTTCTAATAAAACTATAGCACTTTACCACAGGTTTATTTGTTCCCCCTTCCTTTTTCCTTCCCCTTCCCCCCCCCCCCAACTTGCTCTTGGCTTATTAAAATCATTGCACAGTGTGCAATATTAAGAACAACAATTTTCGCAGCATTACCAATTTGTTTGGACTTTTTATTCATGGCTGCAAAAATCTGTGCACTGTGCAGGGAATGCTTTCCTGTCAGTTTAGAACAGAAACCTCCTAACAGGGACTATTTTTGCTTCCCTTATGTATTTGTGAAAGTATATTCTTGCAAGCATTTAGATTTATTCCCTTCCAGTTATAATAGAAAAATACAGGGATTGATTATTTCTCTTTTTCATTTGTTAATTGTTTTATTACCAACAGGGCTAACTGTTTTCTGCAGCGCTGTATACTGCATGATATCTCAATCAATGTTCTTTTTAGCAGTTAACAATTTACAACTCTGCCGCTGGAAGTTTTTAAAATGGGAAAGCTTCCTAATTTGTATAATTTCACCTTTCTGTATTGATTACTGATCAAAAGCAGTTCTTAAACATTTTGGTGTTGTTACTAGTGGATGTATGGTAGATGGATTTAAGCTTCTCTAATAATTACTACATAATTTTAAACAATATATATTTAAAATAAGCATCTACAATAAATGTGTTGAGCCATATTAACTTGTCAATGGGATCTGTGAAAAAAGTAATGGCCTCCTTTTTTTTTTTTCTCATTCATTTTTATTTTTTTTGTGAAGCGGCTATAAGTGGCATAACTGTATTTAAAATTAACGAATTAGGTGTAGGGTGGTTTTTTATACATCTAACACAGCATGTGGTGTTGAAATATTACTGTAGATCAAGTTTGTCTTCCACACCGAGATGTGAGGAAATTGTGAATTGTTCTCTCCACCACAATTGAATTATACACTTAATCTTCTGTCATTTTGGAACACTGCAGTTTACCATGGGACACAGTGTACATATTTCTTGCCATAATGGTAAATGATGGATATATTTAAGGATTAATAAATTTGTGATTTCTGCTGACATTGTGCTTGCGTTTTAATTTCACAGTTAATTGTGGTTTTGCATTGGAAAATGTGTAGTGTCTGTTTTGAATTGAGAAATCAAAGGCACAGATACAGTCTCTTACAAGCCCAGCTTGCAATTTGAAACTACAAAAGTTTGCTTACCTGATTTGTCTTTTGATTAGTTCTTCCTAATCACCTTTTTTAAGGACCTCATTATATACTATTTATGCTGTACTTTTGTTGATGGTTTTTGCACATAGCTTGTACTTGTAGGTACGTTTTTAGAAATGATTTAGGGAGTTTGCACTTTTCTGTAGCCTTCTTGCTGTGTTCCATATGCTTGACCTGTAAGACAAGATGCTGTAGAAGCATTATTTTATGTTTACAGTTGCAGAGCTTAAAATGGATTGGAAGTACATAAATAGTTGAGATTTAAAATAACATACTAGTTTAAAAGCTTTCATGTGTACCTATTGTGATTTTTAGGCACTCAACTGATGCTGAGCCACAACTGGAAAGAGTCCTTCATACCATTAGAAAAAAGGGGCTGAGTGGGCGGAGGAGAGAACAGAGCTTCCGTCTTTCATGGGTCATGAAATACAGAGCTGAATTGTTTCTCCGGTTCCGTGCCAAGAGTAGCATAGTTATGAATCAGACTTATAGTTCTGGTTTCAGCGCGACTGTGATCCAGGAGTATTGCCTGTTGAAGGAGAGAGAGTATTCCTGTTCTATGAAAAATTCAGCACTTAAAGAATGCTTTTTTGGTGGCATTTTGCTATGTATATATGTATGTGTAAACAAAACCAAAAAATGGCTATGAGAGAGCTCAGAGATTTAGAATATTTCAGTGAGCCTCAAAGGAAATAAAAGTGGTTTAGTCTGTTGGGTAGTTTTATATTTTGTCATATCAATGCTAACTGCTTGGTTTACTCATTTTTTCAACTAAATGCTGCTCCAGAAATCAGTTTGACTTCTGTTTTAACTCTGCATGCCTGCAGTAAGCCGTTTGAAAGCACTGGAATTACTACTAATGTACAGGTATGTAGATAAGAAGAGTCCAATGTATAAAGCATAATGACTACAAAGGGAGTGGGGAGAATATATTTACTAAGTAGCAAGTTGAGGATTTCGGAGGAGTGATTTTTTTTATTGGTTTGGATGTCTTTTTATGGCCTAATGTTTTAATGTGCTGCCTCCTGGTGGATTTCTGTAATCATGTTTTCTATTTAGGAGAGCGCAGGAAGAAGCGATTTGTTCTGAACGGAAAGGAACCCAGTGCTTTCATGTACTCTTTTTTAATGTGAGTAAGGAACACAGAATGCTTCAGAGGCTAAAAATGTCCCGTTGCTGAATCTTGAATATACACTATACACATACCTAGAGGGATCAGACTGGTTCCATTTTCTGAAAACAGGCTCACAGGACACAGTTAAGAAAATAAACTTCTCTCTCCTGGAGTTCATTGTCGCAAAGATTAACTTCACTGTTTCTTCGGTGTGCTATTAGCCCTTTGTAATGTCTCCTGGGACTGTGTGCTCGCAGAAAACTTAGTTGTTTCATTTTTTCAGGGCTTTTTTCTTAATTTGTACAGTTGTATTTTATAAGCGTTAACTCTTCAACTCATCTTAGGAAAAGACCATTAGTCAAAAAATTAACCACAGTAGCTGGGGGAGCGATCCACATAGCTTCAGGAGATTCAGCTTCTTTCTTCCTTACAGATTTTTGGTAAAATACAGAGAACTCTGGGTGAAATTCAGAAAGGATGCAGAGGGTTAGAAGTCCAGTGCCTCAATGCCTAACTTCTAAATGCCTGTTTCCCCTGGAGACAGCTGCAGTAGTAGAGGCCTGACATGCCTGTACAGAAGTTTGAGGAGTGTTTGATCCCCATGAGACTTATCTCTACTGAGGACTATCTATGCTTCCTTTGTAAGGAATCCTCTTTATAGCCAGCGAGGACCCTTTCCCTCTCCCTGTCTCACACAGGTAGCAGTGGCTGAACAGGACGAGTAGGAGTGTTGTAAGGAACCGCTTCCAAGATAGCGTGCATATAAAATGAGGAGAACGCAGCAGTTCTACCTGTTTGTGCGCTCCAGAACAGCAGTACAAGGCTGCTTGTATCCAGCATGTTCTTGTCCAGACTCTGAGCCCAGGCAAAAGGCACTACAGAGAGTAAGTTTGGAGAAGAGGAGACTATTTAGTCCCAGAGTGTGAGGGGAGAAGCATCAGTGCAAAAAAGACATATTGATAGACAGCAAGGTTTACAAGGTAAAAGAGCTGTATATCCATGTTGCCAGAACCCAGCTAAGGGACTGAACCTTTTTATGTACTAAGTGGGAATTTGGCCCGTTTGGCCTTTCTCATAATGGCTTCTAATTAGTCAACACAGTTTGTAAGTGGGGCAAATGGTTGGGACAAGGTTCTCTTCCCTAGAGGGTTAAAACAGCAAGGGCTGAGTCTGCACAGCCACAGGATGTCATCCCAAAAATCAACTTAAATTGCACTCCAGGATTTGTCAGGAATCTCATGCACCTCATAACAGCTAAATACACTTGAGGTCTAGGTCTTACAATTACTCACATCTGTTATGCCTTGAACTCAACCCATAGTGGAAAGGTGCTGTCTCATGCAGAAAAAAACAGTGGTGTGCATAACCAGGTTTTCCTGCCAACTGTGAGGTATTTGCCAGTGTCATTGCAAGCCAGTGCAGGAGGGGGAGGGGAACAAAGTTACAATAAAGAGCTTCCTGCATTGAAGGAGAGTTCGGAGCGAACAAAACATCTCTGAGCAGAAAAGGAAGAGACCACTCCACCTTTTTACCACACCTTTTCCCACCTTTCTCAGGCATTTGTAGCATTGACTCTGAGAAGACACCTGCCCTGGACCAAGGCACTGGTAGTCACAGATGGCTAAGTGACACATGTAATCAAGGGACCATGCTGGCAACAACCAGCCTTATAGTGGAGGTAAGAGCCCATATTCCTGTGCCTGACAGCTTGTTTTTTAGGCAAAGATACTACTGAATGCTAGTATCTGAACTGAAGTGAAACCCTAAGTAAGGATGGAGAAGAGGTTGCTGCCAGCTACACGCCTCTGTGATGCTACAGCAAGGCACTAACTAAAACACCATTTAAAATTGTTGCCATGTGCTATGCACTGGAAGCACAGTAAGTACCAGGGCAAGAAACAAAGGTTTCAGCTATGGAACGTGATGGTAGGATAAGGATGCCTACAGTTTCAGTGAAGAAAAGTAAGAGTATATCAACACATTTGTGAAGGAGGATGCTCGTGGACTACTGAGCTCTTGCCTCCCTTGCTCAAGAGTCATTCTGGGGAATTACCTTAGGGCAAAGCAACTGCAAAGATCGAATTTCAGTTGTGTATAGACACAATGATGTTACCTTAGGTACTGGTGATATTGCCTATTCAGCCATGACATACTACTGCCCCATTTTTAGCGTGTGTTCTCTTCCTGTTGATGTATGTATATGTATTCCCTATGCTGGCTTTCTGAACATGGCAGCCACTAACTATTTCAAATACACTATACCACAGGATTCCCAAAGAAAATGCCACCATCCTCTGCTAGGTGATAGATGAGCCAAAAGTGTTATGGAGCTCATTGTATAAGCAAAATGGCATCACCCCTAGAAATTGGTGTAGGAAGCAGCTGATGATCTGTGCTACAACTGTCTGCAAAGTGTGAGAGGCTGTTATGGGTAAGAAGCTGCTCATCGTCCAGAGCATAGTATTAGGTCAGACAGCAGAGCTGCTCTGATTGATGTCACAGAAACTCTGACTTGTGCCCTGAATGAAACAGGTTGAATAGTGTGTCATAAAACCTGAATATGAAGACTGGTAGAGACAGTGTTAGATTTAGCACGAGGTTCCCCCTCATGCTCAGTGCATATCCCTGGAACATGCACTTCACTTTATTTATCACAATTGTCCTTTTGCTCAGCAGGCCTGTCCTTATCCTGGCTACTCATGACTCTCCTCCTTTCTTATGATACTAGGTTAATCCATTCAGGCGGTCCCTGAATTATCACAGTAGCCTGTGATAGCGAGATGCCTTTCTAATAGTCCTCTTTGCAAAGCCGCTGTGCTGAGTTGTGATTGACTTGTATGTCCTTCCATTGTCAGAAAACCTGTCTTGAATTCAGTTTTCACCCTCTCACTGCATGTTTTGTTGTGCCCCCATGTTTGTTTTCTGAGGATTGTAAGTGATGCCTCCACTTTGCGCTGCCCTGAAGGAGAGATTTGTGAACATCAGGAGCTTAGTGACTTGTCGGCATGCTTGTTTAACTTCCTCAGGCAAAATAGGTATCTGAACATCTGCTCTCTGAACTGCACTAGAGTTTTAGCATGAGCTGAGAACACAGCTATTCTGCCATCCTCTAAATGCCTCTGGGCCTACACTGAAAGAAAACTTTAAGTGCTTTGGGCACTTCAAAAATCAAGAAATGTGGACACCTCTTCAGAAGGGCTAATAGCTGAGCATTAGTTTTGTAATCACAGTTTTGGATGCGGCTCCAGTTCTGCCTGATTCCTGCCTCAGATCCCAGTGATATTGCTAAGGGATGTAGCTTGTTATGTTTCCTTATTTATGAATTCCTTTTTGAAGGGCTGTCTGGCAGAACAATTCCATGAGGGTGGAAGGAGAATGGCACTCATCTTGTATTTGAGAGCGTGGCATGGTCCTCCTACTCAAGGACTGTGGCATACATAAACAACAAAAGAGGAAGATAAAATGCATAAGTTGTCCTGAGAGCAGCAGCCATCTTTCTCTCAGAGAGCGCTCAAACCACCAGGTTACCGGCTACCATTGAGTAGAAGAAATGAAACTCCGCTATGGATATTGGGTAGTAATGCGAGGCTCAGGCTATAGTTGTGCATTGCTAAGCTGTCCGTTTTGTTAAGAATGACTTGCCTCAGTACACAAGCAAAAGCAAATGCTAGATTCCTGGGACACTCTCAATTCAAAAATGAGATACAGGTCACCCGCAGACTAGATATCAG